CTATATAAATTAGGAGAAACCCAAGGCCTAAAGATGACTATAAGATTTTTAATGAAAATTTTACAAATCTGTAAAATTTTACATGTCTTATCTTAGAAATTCTGTACTACAAGAAGCTGATATGCTGAATCAATTGTTACTAAAGCAACTTCTCGGTTTTTTTCAATGACTTCCTTGAAGGGCTGAACTTTCTAAAAATGTAGAAAGTAAAGGCAAGAGATACTGTGCAATTAAAGGGCAAACCAATACCATGCATTTCACTCCTTAGCAAAAAAGCTGAGGAAAACAGAAAGGTTAGAAAGTACAGAGAGAAGTCAAGGAGAAGCGAGTGCTTTCTCCTCTTCAGTATTTCAGCAGACCCTCCTCCCTTCATAAACTGGGATGAACTCAACTCTCTGCTTTCTCTAGCCTTGGCTCCGGGTTGCCCGGTCTTGTAATAGAAAATGTGGCAGTAGTAAGGGCTGAGTACCCCTTATCCAAAATACTCGGACCAGAAGTGTTTCAGACTTTTGTGGATTTTGCAATATTTGCATATACATAATGAGCTATCTTAGGGATGGAACCCAAGTCTAAACATGAAATTTTATCTGTGTTTCATATACACCTTATACACATAGCCTGAAGGTAATTTTATACGATATGTTTTAAACAATTTTGTGCCTGAAACAAACAAAATTTCAGGCACAAAATTGTTTAAAACATATCGTATAAAATTACCTCAAGCAGGCAGATCGACTGCTTGAGACCAGAGTTTGAGACCAACCTGGCCAACATGGCAAAACCCCGTCTCTACTAAAAATACAAAAATCAGAAATCAAGTGTCAGGTGTGGAATTCTTCACGTGTGGTGTCACGCCTGTACTTAGAAAGTTCTGGATTCTGGAGCACGTCAGATATTGGATTTTCGGATTAAGGAAACTCAACCTGCATTTTAAAATAGCATTTCAGCTGGGCGCAGTGACTCATGCCTGTTGTAATCCCAGCACTTTGGGAGGCTGAGGTGGGTGGATCACCTGAGGTCAAGAGTTCAAGACCAGCCTGGACAACATGGTGAAACCCCGTCTCTACAAAAAAATACAAAAATTAGCTGTGCATGGTGGCCTGTAATCCCAGCTACTCAGAAGGCTGAGGCACAAGAATCACTTGAACCCAAAAGGCGGAGATTGCAGTGAGCCGAGATCGCACCACTGTACTCTAGCCTGAGCAACAGAGCGAGACTCCATCTCAAAACAAAATAAACTAAAATAGCATTTTCATACTAAATACTGCATTGTACTTACAACCTCAGCTGGCCCCTCAATGCAGTTCAGCAATCTATCTCATAAATTCTTGGCTTCCTACATTGGCCTATCCCCAAACGACCAAAGCTTTTCAACCCTTTCCCATTATCCTTCAGCTTTCCACCCAACCTCTGCAATCCTTCTGTATGAGCAGATAAACCTGCTTCACAGACAAATTAGCTCCCAACATTCAAACACTCCTTTTACATTCTGTAGCTGGAAAGGGGCCTCATCCTTAACTGCCTTCCCATCTCAGAGAAGGGGAGTCACTTTTCGTCTCCTGCACTCACCTAATAGCCATCCCTACAGCCCTGGACCCCACCCAGTCCCTTCCCCTTCTCTGGAACCTGCTCTATCTGTTAGCCCTTCCTTTCTTTATCTTCAGGCTGTCTCTGTCCAGGGATTCTTTTTTTTCCTGTAAGTGTATAAACATGTTCAACTTACTTTTGCCATCCAGGCAACCATCAAAAGCTATACTCCCGCCTCTTCAGTCCCTTTGCTGACCAAAATGGCAATTTATCCAAACTGTTTCGCCTAATCCTACTTTCACTAATTTCTCAATCCATCCTAGCTCATCTCTTCTATCTCCTCTCCACTAGCCCATGCCTTACTGAACCCACTCTAATTTAGATACCAATGACCTAAATGCCAAACAAAAAAGCCTGCTTTCTCTTCAGTGGCTGATACTTGCAGAAACTTTTTATCCTTAACAGTGTTAAAAACACTTTTTCTCCTCCTTCTCTTCCTAAAACCTCATTTTACATGGACTCTTTTCTGCCTACTTCTTAAATACCTATAGGAGCCATACTTGACACTCATATTCTACAAGCATGCTCTGGAGACCACCATCCACTTCCATACATGATACTGCCTACATTCTTATTATCCTAAATTTCTTCCTCTAGCCACAAACTCTCTCAAAAGCACCAAAGTCACATCTTTTCAACTGCCTAGAAAAAACATCCACCAGCAAGCAACTCAAACTGTAACAGGTGAAAAATCTTCCCCCTGCCCCCGCCCCTCCCCACCAAACCTACTCCTCCTTTCAGGTAACAGCATGACCAGGCACCCACTCTCCCAAGGTAGAAAACTTAGAGTCATCCTTAAATTACCTTTCTTCCTCACACCCCTAGCCTCTTTAATCTATCATCAAATTTCATCCATAATCTCTTGAATGCAGCTACCTCTCTGTCCCCTTTACTATTAATGTACTTTAGATATTCATCTCATATGTGAATCATTTCAACAGTTCTCTACTACTAATCTCTCCCTGATTTAGTCTTACTGCACATACCAGGATTATCGTCCTAAAATAATTTCGAAATTGAAACAGGATACCCTATTTTTCTCTATCATACTGGCAAAAACTAAAAAGAAAAACAATACTCTGTATTGGTTAGAGTGTGGGGAAATGAACATTCCCATAAACTTGGTGAGGGGAATATTAAGGCAAAATACCAAGGGAATTTAACCAAACTTGAAGCATAACCAAACTTGCAAATGTGTATACCCTTTGATCTACCAATTCTATTTCCACGAATTTATTCTAAGGAATAAAACAGAATGTACACAAGATCTTTAAGTATATCCTAAAGTTCCCATCAATATCAGCGAAGGCCAGAACCTTTTTTTTGTTTTTAACATACTATACTATTTGCCTGGAATGTCTTTCTGCCACCTATACCCTCCGACACCCTGTAAAACTAGAATTCATCCTTGATTTCAAAGGTCAGCTACTCCATCCGGTCTCCATGGCAGTATATTCACACCTCTGTATCACACTACAAACTTTCTCTCCCACAGCAGATCATAAGCTCTCCAGGGATAATGGTTTTATGTATGTATTTATTTAGCATATCTCTGTATCTATGCTACCTACAACAATGTCTCACACATTAAGGGTCCAATAAACATGTGTTGAAAAAAGGCATTTTCTTCCTCTTTCCACAAAGAATTCTTTTTCAAAATCTCAAGGAGTTTTCAAAGGAGTTTCAAAATCTCAAAGAAGTTTCCTAAAATGCTGGTGGACTTCAATATATTAATGCTATATTAACTTCCTGTATTAAAACAGGTATTCAAGCAAAGCAAATATTTTTGAAAATTTATAAAGAGTCTATATCCTTTATATTTGAAGTTTAATTCCTTAAGGCATAAGAATTTCCATACTGGGTCAGAACCGTGGCCTAGCCAACCTGGAATTTTATCTCTGAAAGTGGTACCAACAAATATGTTGTAAGAAGATAACAGCTGTCCTTGCTGATGCTAAGATAAACATTTAAAGGTGTGCTTCAAAATACTTTATACTTGATACCATGTTTTGGAATCATGCTTCATACTCTTCATGTTATCTGTTATATAGTATTTTACATATACGTACATAAGTATTACCTAAACAGTACTGTGTATCCATATTCAAGAAAATAAGTAGCAGCACAGTGTCTGACACCTGTAATCCCCGCACTTTAGGAGGTCAAGGCAGGCACACTGCCTGAGCTCAGGAATTCGAGACCATACTGGGCAACGTGGCAAAACCCCATCTCTACTAAAAATACAAAAAATTAGCTGTGCATGGTGGTGTGCACCTACAATCCCAGCTACTCAGGAGGCTGAGGCACAAGAATCACCTGAACTCAGGAGGCAGAGGTTGCAGTGAGCCAAGATCGCGCCACTGCACGTCAGCCTGGACGACAGAGCAAGACTCTGTCTCCAAAACAAATAAACAAAAAGAATATAAGTAGCTTGGTTAGACTTCTTTTTTTCCCCCCAAGTTGAAGTCCTTTTAGGTTTCAAGAGGGTTCATAATTCTAATAAAGGCTGATAAAAGCCTGATCACATCCTCCATGACTCCAAAGTTCAGTCAGTTCTTTCCCGTTCAGCATTTTTGTTTTGTTTTGTTTTGAGGAGTCCTGCCCTGTCGCCCAGGCTGGAGTGCAGTGGCACAATCTTGGCTCACTGCAACCTCCGAGTCCCAGGTTCAAGTGATTCTCCTACCTCAACCTCCTGAGTAGCTGGGATTACAGGTGCCCGCCATCACACCCAGCTAATTTTTTTATTTTTAATAGAGAGGGGGTTTCACCATGTTGGCCAGGCTGATCTCAAACTCCTGACCTCAGGTGATCCACCTGCCTCTGCCTCCCAAAGTGCTGGGATTATAGGCGTGAGCCACCATGCCTGGCCTCAAGCCTTTGTCTTTCTAAACTGAAGAAATCTCATTGTCCTCGTGTCCTCCTATAGAAACAACTCTACTCTGCACCATTTCTTTTTTTTTTCCCCCCTAAGACAAAGTCTTGCTCTGTCACCCAGGCTAGAGTACAATGGCATAATCTCGGCTTATTGCAACCTCTGCCTGCTGGGTTCAAGTGATTCTCCTGCCTCCTGAATAGCTGGGACTACAGGCATGTGCCACCACACCTGGCTAATTTTTGTATTTTTAGTAGAGATGGGGTTTCACCATGTTAGCCAGGCTGCTCTCGAACCCCTGACCTCAGGTGATCCACCCACCCCGGCCTCCCAAAGTGCTGGGAATACAGGCGTGAGCCACCACACCTGGCCTTACTTAATTTTCAGTTATCTTGTAGCCTCCTAACTAAAACACAATGCAGGTAGGTCTATGAGATTAGTTTTATATACATTTAAAATCAAAAAAATTTCACCCCTGATAAAAATTAGGAAAGGCAGCCTTCGAAAACACCTTTGACAATCACTGTACCCCAAGACTTACAGGAAATCATAAGGTAGTCCTCGCAGTTGCCTTTGTCATCATCTTGCTGGTCCACAGGGATCCCATTGGCATCTATGACTGCTTCAGAGGCACAGTCTGCTACCAATACTTCTTCTGAAACTACATCGGTGGTCAGAGGATCCGTGACAATTTCTGCTTCTACTACGCTATCATGAACCACATGTTCAACATGTCCAACATGTCCAACATCAGACACATGTATAGATTCACTCGTCAAGACGTGTTCTGGCATAGACATTGAGGCTGAAGTAATGTCAGAAGCTAAAACATCATCTGGGACGGTGCAATGTGCTAAAGAAACTTCTTCAGTTACATCTGAGTCCAGCACTTGCTCAGGAATGATGACCGTTTCAGATACATCTGCTTCTTCCATGATATCTGGGCACTGAACATCTTCTATAACAACGTCCTCAATAACATCTTGGATTACAACAGAATCTGGGTCATCAGGAACAAAGTTATGCACAGTTATGTCTGAATCCACAACATCTGAAACAAAAACAGTTTCTTGTACTTCCACAACAATTTGATCACCATCCATGTGTGTACCATCAGCTCCTTAAAAAAATAAAAATTAAAATGACAAATTTCAGGTAAGTATGCGTGACTACAATTAATGTAAATGTTACTTAATTTCTACTGGGAAAACAGACTGGCTCCTCAGTTTTCTTAAACATTAACAAAGATTAAAGAAATAAAGAGGGAATCTATTTTTGAATCATATTAGAAAGATGTTTTTAACACAAGAACTTTTCAATCATCCCAAATCAATGAATAGATTTTTTTAAATTAGGAGAACAAAGCAATTGAGGCAGTCACAGAAGAACTATATTGACAAAAGTAAAATTCTAGGCACACTAATAAAATCCATATACAGCCAGGTGCAATGGCTCACACCTGTATTCTCAGCACTGGGAAGCCAAGATGGGCAGATGACTTGAAACCAGGAGTTTGAGACCAGTCTGGATAACACTGCGAAACCCCATCTCTATTAAAAATACAAAAATTAGCCCGGGTGTGGTGGCGCAAGCCTATCCCAGCTTCCTGGGAGGCTGAAGCAGGAGAATTGCTTGAACCCAGGAGGTGGAGGTTGCGGTGAGCCGAGGTGGTACTGCTGCACTCCAGCCTGGGTGACAGAGCAAGACTCTGCTGGGGGGGGAAAAAAAAAGAAAAAGCCCATATACATAGGTACTTAAGGGAAGATTATAAAAATTAAGTAACGCAACTTCAGGTGACAAATATACTATTTTCCCTCAGTATATGTGTTTTACCTTTTTGCTCCACCTCCCTCTCCTCAACTCGCATTTGTTCTTCTTTTCATCTCTCCTATGTGTTTCTTTTACTTCTAGTTTTTTTCCTTTCTCCCTTCACATGCTTCCCTTTTTGTTCTGGTGCAATATACCACCAATATGCTCCATGTATGGCTACAGAAATTTAGAAATCATCCTCTGAATCTAGGACATATGAGGATCAGAGGATAAATTTAAAAAGGGACAAAAGGCCACAGTTGAGGAGGAAAGACAACTGGGTTGAAGAGGCCCTGGGGACAGATAGGATAAATACAAGTGCAGCTGTGCTGGGGTGGTGGAGGGTGAGAGTAGTTGCAGTGGGAGCTGCCCCTACTTCAGCAGGGTACACCGCCTCCATCTAGCTTCCTTCCGTCCCCCTAGACACCAACTCTCAAGGCAGTTACATAGGAAACCCTACTCTAGTCAATTTTGCAGTTAAGGAATGAAGGTAGAAGATTCAATCAATTGAAGCCCAGTGAGATTAAATGACTTCACCAAGATCACACAGTTTGCACAGTGTATGGCGCTCAGAAAATATCATTCTGAATGAATGTCACAAATGGAAATAGAAATCATATATCCTTTTCAAAAATATAAGATAAAATACATAAAATATCTTGGTTTCTGTTCTAGAGAAAAGTAAAGAAAGTTTTACAAAAGCCTTACCTAAATAGCTATTCAGTAGATTAGTGCCTCTGGTTGACTCAGACCAGGCTGCGTCCAACCAGGTGCCTAACTCAATGACTGTGTGTCACTGGACAGGCCCTTAGAGAAACACATAGGTTAATCAACAAACAAAAATGATCAGGCCCAGCAGAGCGGCTCATGCCTGTAATACCAGCACTTTGGGAGGCCAAGTGATGTCAGGGGTTCAAGACCAGCCTGGCCAACATGGTGAAACCCCATCTCTACTAAAAATACAAAAATTAGCCAGGCATGGTGGTACATGCCTATAATCCCAGCTACTCGGGGGGCTGAGGCAGGAGAATCGGTGGAACCCAGATGGTGGAGGTTGCAGTGAGCCTCGACTACACCACTGCACTCTAGCCTGGACAACAGAATGAGACTCTATTTACAAAAAAAAAGGAAAACCAAAGGCTCAAGAACACTAAAAATTATAGAAAGTCAACTAATATCTATTTTAATTACATCTAGAACTAATAAAAAGAATATGTTCACTTTAGGCCAGGCGCGATGGCTCATGCCTATAATCCCAGCACTTTGGGAGGCGGAGGCAGGTGGATCACCTGAGGTTGGGAGTTCGAGACCAGCCTGACCAACATGTAGAAACCCCGTCTCTACTAAAAATACAAAATTAGCCAGGCATGGTAGCAAATGCCTGTAATCCCAGCTACTTGGGAGCCTGAGGCAAGAGAACTGCTTGAACACGGGAGGCAGAGGTTGCAGTGAGCCAAGATCACGCCATTGCACTCCAGCCTAGGCAACAAGAGCAAAACTCCGTCTCAAAAAAAGAAAATGAATAAAAGAATATGTTCACTTTAATTTCTACAGAACTTTTACAAAATGCTTGTATTTGTTTTCAGTGTTATCATTAGGAAATAAATCACTAATTTCCATTTTGCATACATAAAGATAAAAACATTTAGTGGCAAGAGCACTGGTTACAAAATGTAAATCAGCCAGGGACGGTGGCTCACGCCTGTAATCCCAGCACTGTGGGAGGCTGAGGCAGGCTCCCACACTTGCGGTCAAGAGTTCAGGCCAGTTTGGCCAACATGGCAAAATTCTGTCTCTACTAAAAATACAATAATTAGCCATGCATGGTGATCTGCACCAGTAATCTCAGCTACTCGGGAGGCTGAGACAGGAGAATCACTTGAACCAGGGAGGCGGAGGTTGCAGTGAGCAGAGATCGCAGCCACTGCACTCCAGTCTGGGCGACAGAGTGAGACTCCATCTCAAAAACAAAACAAAACCCAAAAAAAAACCCATAATCTAAATCAGAGAGTACAGCAGGGTAGGAGATTTATTAGTTTTGTGACCTTGGGCAAGTCATTCAACCTCTGAGTTTCAGTTTCCTCATCAGTAAAATGAGGACATTAGTATCTGCCATGCATACAGATAGTAGGATGATCAAATGGGAATGTGGTGATGATCAAATGGGAATGTATGGGAAGTGTTCTCAAAAACTGTAATCAGAGGTTCCATTATTATTATGACATATGAAAACAGAGGCCCTGGCAGATTAAGTGACTTGCTCAAAGATAAATACCATAAGTGTTATTAATCAAGACTAAAATGCAATACCCTTTGATCTACCGCTTAGCCCATGACCTAGGCTTGCCCGTGGCGAGATTAAGTGAACAAACACTGCACATTTTTCTCCAAAGAGTTTAGTCCCTCCTTCAAGTATATTAATTATACTTCATGCTCCAAGGAAGAAAGAATTACAAACTTTATGTTTATCATTATCAAATTGAGATTTCCAAACCTGAGTTAAAAGACTATCCCAAGTTGTTAAGAAACACACACATAGATCCCCACTGGATTTAGAGACTAAAGAAAATTTTAAAATTTGGCCAAGCACAGTGGCTCACACCTGTAATCTCAGCACTACGGGAGGCCAAGGCGAGAGGATCACTTGAGTCCAGGAGTTCCAGAGCAGCCTGGGCAACATAGTAAGACCCCCGACTCCACAAAATAAAATTAGCTGGGCTTGGTAGCACACACCTGTAGTCTGAGCTACTTGGAAGGCTGAGATAGGAGGATCCCTTGAGCACAGGAGTTTGAGGTTACAATGAACTACGATCATGCCATCGTGCTCTAGCCTAGGCAACTGGGTGAGACTCTGTCTCTAGAAGAAAAATAAAATGATAATAAAAAGAAAATTTGAAAATTTGAAATCACTGACATTTAATTTCCTGATAAAGTTCATTGCTATTCCTTTAATATACTACAATCTGATCATTTACAGTCCAATGGAAAACTTATTAACATTTTATTTTTAATAAGGGTAGCTACCTGGTGTGACATAAAATCCTTTTATATTTTTTTTCCTTTTTTTTCTCTTTCAAGACAGAGTCTTGCTCTATCACCCAGACTGGAATGCAGTGGCATGATCTCAGCTCACTGCAACATCTGCCTCCCAGGTTCAAGCAATTCTCCTGCCTCAGTCTCCCAAGTAGCTGGGATTACAGGTGTGCACCACCATGCCCAGCTAATTTTTTTATATTTGTAGTAGAAACAGGGTTTCAGTATGTTGGCCAGGTTGGTCTTAAACTCCTGGCCTCAAGTGATCCACCCACTGCGGCCTCCCAAAGTGTCGGTATTACAGGCATGAGCCACCTCATCTGGCCTCAAACCCCTTTTATATTATAAAACCAAGTATAGGCCAAGCGTGGTGGCTCACACCTATAATCCCAATACTTATATAAGAAGCTGAGGCAGGCAGATCACATGAGCCCAGGGGTTCAAAAACAGCCTGGGCAACATGGCAAAACCCCATCTCTACCCCCACAAAAAAAAAAAATTAGCCAGGCATTGTGGCACACACCTGTAGCCCTAGTTACTCGGGAAGCTGAGCAGGAGATCACTGGAGCCTGGGAGGCAGGGGTTGCAGTGGACCAAGATGGCGCCACTGTGCTCCAACCTAGGTGACAGAACAAGACCCTATCTGAAAACTAACAAACAAAAAAACCCAAAACACAAGTGTAACCACTTTGCAACATTATATAATTATAACCATGGGTAATTTGAAATACATTTTTTCTAATACTTTTTTTTTTTTCCTGTTTTTTAGAATTTCCTGAGTATAATCTTCCTTGTACACTCTGGGGAGTGAAGACTCCATCTTCCCGAAACAGAAGTCTCCTTTTGGGAACTTGTAAGAGAGAGGGTTATAAAAATAGGACAGTGTCAACATGGGGGACCTTCTTTATCTGCTGGGTATTGGAGAACAGAGAAATGACATGATCCACATGTTATTTTACAATGAGTACTCTGATCAGCAGGCTAGATAAGAGAGACTAAGGGTAAGAAAAATAATGCAAAAGTTATTCCAGACTAAGTATGAGACAAAAGAGCCTGTCTATGTGGTAGGCACTAGGATGAAGAAGAGCAGATGTAAACAAAGAGTATTTTTTCTTTTTCCTTTTTTAAACAAAGGTCCAAACAAAGCTAACAAGCAATATTTTTAAAGGGAGAACCAACAGGAATTCAGGACATAACTGGGTAAGATATCATCTTCATAACTGAAGATAAAACTAAGGTTTTGATATCACTGCTGTCACTGACAAGAATATGAGAGTTGGTTCTGAGGAGCCACCTCTTTGAGGAGGGTAATAATAATATGCTCACTGTAACATCTATGAATTTTGACAGGATAACAAGATAACCTAAGTGTGAATTATCAATGTTAGAGTTCTAGCAATTTATTGATGTGATAACCAATTCCAAATCTGGTAGATGGGAAATGGAACAATTCAAGCAGTTATACCTGTTGCATCAAAAAATGAGTTTGGTTCTTGTGGTTGTAATTCAAGCCCATCTTCATCCATGGCCTTTAATTCTCATCAGTCACAGCTCCTAAATCAGGGGAAAAGGTAAATCAAAGCCATTAGTTTTTTTATATCATGTATTAAAATGTCACCATGATAGTTTCATTTCTGAGACACTTAAATTCTGTGAAAGATAAATGTGTATCAAAAACGTATCTAATCTAATGTGAAAGAGAACTTAAGTGATTTACAATGGTATATGGGCATCTATATTACAAGGCAGGGCAGATAAACAAGTCGACTTTGTCTGAACTTCTTTTTAAATTGAAGTAATCAACGTATTGCTTACGTCCATCAAGTGAGCGTATCTTGATGAATTCTGATACATACATAAACCTTTGTAATCACTACTCTGAACAAAATATAGAACATTTTTAGGACCCCAATACTCTTATCTCCTCAGTCTGTAACACCCCATGTTCCCAAATGGGTAACCAGTTTTGTTAAGGTTCAACTTAAAATACATTCTGTAGCTTATTGTGGGAAATGTTTGTACAATTTTCATATTCTATAAATTTAATTAGAGAATATGAAAATTCTCTACTAACTTCCAACCAGTAGATTGAACAATGGCAAAAATTCAAAGTGCATAACTGTAATAAACAACCTTTGGGATTCTGCCTAACCTCTCTTAACTAACCCTCTCATCTAAAGAAGTAAATTCCCACAGTGTATTTATACTCTCCTGGCCACAGTTGATTGGCACTAGCTATAAAGTGGTAAAAAGTAAGTTCATCTTTAAGCACAATAAAATCAAAGTCCTATCCCTGAGAAACAAAAACCATGAGCAAGGCAGTCCCTTCCCTTTCCTCCCTCCCAGTGGCTGGAACATAAGAGCTGAGGAAAGTCATTTTGTAACTCTGGCTTAGACTAGTAAACAAAAAATAAAAAGAATCCTGTGAGTGCTTTGAGTAACAGAATAGAGTAAGCAGGGAGAGGAGACAGCTTTTTAGCTCCTGGTTCTAGATCTATATTGAGGTCTAGCTATAACCCTGCCTTCAAATTTTATAAGACATTCCAATGGCCTTAATTCTCCCTTTTCTACTTAAGTCAAAAACTTACGACAAAAAGAACCCTAACCAATGATTTCGGCTTTACCATTTTTTGGCTAATTGTATAAGTACTACATGCTTATTAAAATTTCAAATAACAGAAACATAAGTCATTTTTCTAAAGCTAGGTGACATCATTCCTCTGTTCAAAAATGTTTAATAACTCCCTGCTCCCTCTACATAAAATTCAAACACCTGTGTCATCTTCTAAGTTCTAGCCCAAAACTACCTTTCCACTATCATCTCCCCTAACTTTCCTTCAAGCACTTCCCTCTACTACCCTTAGCATGTACATAAACACATGTTCCCCACCCACACATAGTTCGGCCAAACAAAAATAATACTCAACATCCCCATAAAACCCCAACTTTGGGCCAGGCGCGGTGGCTCACGCCTGTAATCCCAGCACTTTGGGAGGCCGAGCCTGGTAGATCACAAGGTCAAGAGATCAAGACCATCCTGGTCAACATGGTGAAACCGCGTCTCTACTAAAAATACAAAGAATTAGCTGGGCATGGTGGCGCGTGCCTGTAATCCCAGCTACTCAGGAGGCTGAGGCAGGAGAACTGCCTGAACCCAGGTGGCGGAGGTTGCGGTGAGCCGAGATCGCGCCATTGCACTCCAGCCTGGGTAACAAAAGCGAAACTCATCTTAAAAAAAAAAAAAAACCCAACTTTATATTTGATTCAGGGTTCCTTCTACCTGGAACACCTTTCCCACATTATCTCTGCTTTAATCTTTCCCCCTAAATCTCCTTCCACACAAAAAAAGAGAAAGCTGGAAATAATTTCTCCCTCTGAAATTTCCACAGCACTCTATTCTTCTCTGACTATACTGGTTTGTCATATTATGATTATTTATATATGTCTTATTTGCAGATACTAAATTACATATATATAGTCCTTAAAAAACTCATTAACATGGCATAGTAATAGAAATATCCATTAAATGTAACAGAAAATTTACATTCATAAAAGGGATTCTCAACATAATCAACTCTGAGATATATTCTATTCATTTTTAAGAGATAGCATTTTTCATGTAATTTATTCAGACTGTTTCAAATTAAAGTAAATGGGCTAAGTGCAGTGGTTCACACCTGTAATCCCAGCACTGTGGGAGGCCGAGGTGGGCGGATCACCTGAGGTTAGGCATTGGAGACCAGCCTGGCCAATATGGCAAAACCCCTCCTCTACTAAAAATACAAAAAAAATTAGGGGGGCATGGTGGCACATGCCTGTGATCCCACCTACTCGGAAGGCTGGGGCAGGAGAATCGCTTGAACCTGGGAGGTAGAGGTTGCAGTGAGCTGAGATTTCGCCAATGCACTCCAGCCTGGGTGACAGGGCAAGACTCTGTCCCCAAAAAAAAAAAAAAAACCTTCTAAGCATTATGAAACACTATGACTTCAAGCCAATTAAGAAGGCAATAAAGGGTAGTAATTATAAGCCCCTAACCATACAAATTTCCCTACATAAACCCAATCCTCTATGAATTCTCAACCTGCAGAACAACTTTTCTTGACATTCATCCTCCTTGGCATTTCTATTATTAGAATTTAACAATCAACTCCCTGATTTTTGAAGTGCTCTTTCCTCTGTTGTTTTAAGTGACTTCTAGTTCTCTTTCCCCCTTGTTAACTGCTGGCTACTCTGCCTCCCCTCATCCCTTATTTCTGTTCTGCCCAGGGTTGTGTGCTCAACCTTCTCTTCTGCTTTTTCTTTATTCCCATGGTTTCAACTACTACTTCCACAACAATGACTCCCAAAATCATCCTAATATGTCCAACAGACTACTGAATATTTTCATCTGGATAAACACCAACCTTCTCTTGATATGACCACTATGGCCTTTTCCTTCTTCCCTCCTCATAGTCAGATTGCCAGATCTTGTCAACTCTCTTCAATTTCTCAAGAATCCAACCCCGTTTGTTTGTTTGTTTGTTTGTTTAGAGGCAGAGTCTCACTCTATCACCCAGGCTGCTAGAGTGCAATGGCGTGATCTCAACTCACTGCAACCTCTGCCCCCTGGGTTCATGTGATTCTCCTGCCTCAGCCTCCTGAGTAGCTGGGATTACAGGGGCCTGCCACTGCGCCTGGCTAATTTTTGTATTTTTAGTAGAGACGGGGTTTCACCATCTTGACCAGGCTGGTCTTGAACTCCTGACCTCATGATCCACCTGCCTCGGCCTCTCAAAGTGCTGGGATTTCAGGTGTGAATCACTGCGCCTGGCTCCCACTTTTCTT